TTCGAAAATCAAATTATTTTTTTTTATTAGCTGCCTCTAATACTTTTAAGGTGACCAGTAAAAATATCTTAGACGGTTTAAATGTTATGCAGGATTTCACGTTCGCGCAGCTGTGGGATATAACGTCGTATAGTCTGTTGAAAGTCAACCGACGTTTCGGAGTAACGTGTCGCCTCTCTCTTCAGGATTGAATAATAAGCCAAGCAAGAAACAAGCAGAGACGTACTTGCTACTTGCTTCACGCTGGTTTCTTGGTATATCTTTTAACCATGAAGATGGAGGCGAAATATTCCTCCGAAAACGTCGGTTGACTCTGAACGAACTACACGGCGTGTTATGCCAGAAGATTTCTATCTCTTCAGTTCAAAAGTAAGTTTGTAAGCAAATGTTGTGCCCCCCACCCCCCGCAACGGGGAGGGCGAGAAGGAATTCTTGGCGGCGCACGTGTATAGATTTATAGTTAACCCGTTATTTGCTACGGGCTCTAGATATTTGCTTTTTTGAGTAGTTCTTGCCGAGTTACACGGGCGGGTATAACCGATGTGTACATCACCTAAGGTACATGTCTGTCGCCCACCTTGTACTGCAAATACACTAGAGGCCGTATATTAGGATTTACTTCGATATGACCGTACACACTTGTTTGACATATTGCCAGAAAACGTCTCTTGAAATTGAGAGCACATAAAAAATTACATTTCCTCCCTCTATTGTAAAAATTAATGGCTTCCGCGTTTCAGCAGACTTGGAGCACCATAATGCACACAAGGCCACGAGTAAAGCACATGGAAAGAAGAAGAATAAAAAGACAAGAAACTTAAAAGAGCACCAAAAATTTCACGACGTAATGATGACGCATTTCAAATTTCCATACCCATTTTTCCGGGGCTGCGAGTTCACTCTTATATAAAAAAGGACAAAATAAAGGGAAGATGGGAGTTAAAAAAGAGATAGTAGGGGAGGCGGGTGGTTAGAGGACAGGGAAAATGTCTACCCGTATTTGCGTGTGCTGGTTGGTGGGTGCGGAATCCATTCTATCTGCAATTTAGATGAGGCCGTGTTGCTAAGCTTTTGGCAACCCAGACTTCACGGACTCTGACTTCTCGCTAGATGCGAGGTTCATTAGATGTTGAGGGGTTGCTTCGCTGATCAAAAGGCCCCATATTGCAGCAGAACATGGCAATGATGAGCCATTTGCTAACGTGATCACTTGACTGTGAGACATTTTAGCTGACTTGTCATTCGCATTCAGTTACAGAATCACAAAAGGTTTGCTATTAACCAGAGAAAAGAATTCATTGGACAGTGGCTTCACTGTCTGAAATATTTACATTTGCTCTACTTGAATGTTCTGCTATAAACAGAAATGAAGCCGGTCACGGTGGCCGCGCGGTCTAAGGCATGAAATGTCTTCGCCCACTCAAACAGTTGGATCGTGGGTTCGAACTCCACTTGAGGCATAGTTATGCCTGCGTTTGTCCTGTGTAGGTAACGGCCTTGCGACAGGGCTGATCCCCCGTCCAAGGAATCTTACCGACTCTTCGTAAGATCCATAATTTTAAATTACTTCTGATGGGAAACGTACCAAAGGACCTGATACGAAAGGAAGAAGAAGAAATGAAGCAGTGGGATGAAAAATGGAAGTTGGAATCAGAAGGCAAATTTTTATAAACTAGTGTGGCACCCTCTGAGAACTCAACTGGAAGTCCAATTCGTTTTAAGCTCTCGTACGTTGACAAGCCAGTGTCAAATGCTTCTATCTCTAGCCGTCATTTCGTTTCACCATATTAATTTTAGATGATCAAAGAATTTACAATTAGACTTGATTTAAATGACTAAAATATATCAAAAACATCGCGTGTAAATTATGTAAGAATTCCTTTGGTGTTTGGTCTCTGACATTAAGGGAGGAACAGAGACTGAGGGTGTTTGAGAATAGGTTGCTGAGGAGAATATTTGGACAGAAGAGAGGTGAAGTGACAGGAGGTTGAAGAAAACTGCTTCATAACTTGTACTCTCCTCCAAAATTAGAATGATCAAGTCTAGGAGGCTGAGATGGGCAGGGCATGTAGCCCGAATTGATCTGAAGAGGATATTGGTGGGAAAGCCAGAAAGAAAGAGACCACTAGGAAGACCATTAAAATGGATGTTAGAGAGATAGGATGGGGCGATATGGACTGCATTGATCTGGCTCAGGATAGGGACCAGTGGAGGGCTCTTGTGAACACGGTAATGGACCTTCGGATTCAATAAAATGCTGGGAAATTCTTGAATAGCTGCACAACTGGCGGCTTCTTAAAAAGGGCTCAGATTGCCTTTAGCACTGGTTGCAAATTAAGGCCGAAACATGTTGGGCAGTAAAACCTTTTTAATTATTAAAAACAAATTGGGTGCACTTGATGCAGGTTTTATATTTGTCTCTAAACTTGTATCCAGGGAGGTTCTCGATTCGAATCTTATACAGAATATCGGCTATTTATTATAACAGAGCTTTTGTTTGTTTCCTCAGTTCCTCCTGCCAAATACCGGAATACAAACTCTGTCATTCCACGTCCACCTCCTTCTAAATCTACGCTCCCTTTAATCTGCGTTCACACAGGTGTGGGTTCAAGGTCGGACGGTATTCCAATACGCTATCATCCATATCAGAAAATTGGTAACGATGCTTTTGTTCTGAAGGTTAAGAACATGCGTTATATGCTTTGTTACAGTAAGGTGCCCGCCTTCTTGAATGTGGTGGACATTGCAGGGCTGGTAAAGGGCGCTTCAGAGGGCCAGGGGCTAGGAAACGCTTTCCTGTCACACATCAAGGCATGCGACGCGCTCTTTCACCTGTGTCGTAAGTATCTTTGTTAGCTTCCACTGAACCGGCTTTGTATTAGTTGTGTCATGCCTCGAGTGTTGTCACGTGGCTGAGTCACTGTTGACGGGGTTTGGAATGGTAAGCGGATTTATTGGACACTTCAACACACAACTTATGACTACACTTTACAAATCACTATCACACACAGACTAGTGTTCTCAGCCACGGTCTTCACTAGCCGTTGCTTGATAACGTCTTTCAATAGTGGACGTTCCTATGCTGCCGGGCTTACGTCCTCGCAGGCTGGCGGCCGTCTGACGCCAGCCTCCTACTCTTCTAAGTGCCGTCTGAGAGACAGTTAATTTACGACTGGCGGTTTACAACCAATTAGTTCTTCTTGGCACCAAGCCCCTTGAGACTCACGACCAGAGTTTTTTTTTCCATTTGAATCCTTGCGGTCATAGTCCTTATGTAACATCCTCTCTGAAGCGGCCTCCGTAGTCTAGAGGTAACGTTCCCACCTCATGACTCGTAGTAGTAGTAATACCCGGAGGAGGTCATCGAATTTTTAAGGGCGGAAAAATTCAGGGGACAAGTCCTCCGTGAGGGACTTTAAGCCGTGGGTCCCGTGTCGTAGCTTTACGGCACGTAAAAGAACCTCATATCTCCAAAGGAGGTCACTGAGCCAAATTAACGAACGTTTCCCGCCCAACAGCAGTCTCTAATACCTCTGGTAGACGGGGGAAGCATTATAGATACCTCTCAGCTAGTAGAGCCGGTCTCGCTGGCTGGGCGGTACTAATGGTAAGCACCAGTACCGGTAGGATATAGAGACTGGTAGAAATCATAGAGGGAAGCACAATGGACCACTACAGGTCTAAGTGCATGGGAAACCCCATCCTCTCCAATAACTAACTAACTAATTAACTAACATCCTCTCTGACGAGAAGATGGTGTTTTGTCGTATGAATATGCTTCACCTTTGTCAAGTGTACGTATCGCGCATATAGCATGTTATTGAAACTTCTTCCTTGTGCACTATATACAAGGCCTCTGTCAGTCCAGGCATTCCAGAGCAGATCATGTCCATCTTACGTATCTTATGCTACAACAGCAGCTTAGTCACTTGAATGGTCGTAAGCTTGACCATCGCCAAGTTTAAGCCTCATATATTTTCTGTCTGGCTTCACCTTGACCTATACCGCGAACATGTTCATTCTCATGATTTTGTACGACTTCTGCTTGTCGTCTGCGCAATTTTCTTATATAATCGTATACATACGGAAGGTTGAAAGCCATGTGCAAGTCACGGACCGATGTATACCTTGGAAAATTTCCAGTAGTGCTGAGAACCTTATTTTGAGGCGCTGCAATTTTAAGGGGTAGGTGTCTGCCGGTAATTCCCATGCGGGGCAATCGTAAGTTATTACTGATGTAATCAGTGCCTTATAGAGGGATAGTTTAGCGTTAGCGCTTAAACGCTCACTTTTGAATAGGAAGTAGATTGTAATAAATGCTCAGAAGGCCATGACTTCAATCATTGCTATGTGCAGTCTCCATGTAATCCTCTTATCGAAGATTACACCGAGATATTTAGATGATTGACAAAGGGGCTTGTTGCCTGTCAGAGACCAAGTCACATGGCGACTGACGGTCAGTCAGTCAATAAGTCTCATGACCAGGTATTTATTACTGTTTGACAGTTACGGTCTTCTTTTTGTGGGGCTCCCTCTCTGACGAGAGGACGGGTCTGTCTTTTGTATATGCTCCTAGCCCTTTCCAGCGCAGTCTTTCTCGGGTCCGAGTCCCTTGGGAACCGCGACCATGTTTTACTGTCTCAGATTTGAGACTACCCTTTTTTGTCGCCTCCTACGACTCGCAGTCTCGGGACGGACCGCACAGAAAACATCGCCTCTAACAGCTCTTCTTTTGTTGCGTGCGTGTCTATTGCAGTCATTGCCTTGCAACAGGCGTGTTTGCAGAGCTGTTCCTTAGGAACGGCCGCCTTTTCTGGCTTTCATCGCCAGACCTGAGACAGTAACTTTTTAAATTAGGTCACGCCTTCTTCGTTACGCGTCGCTTCCAATTCGTTATTCACTGTCACCCATTCGTTGACTGGTGTACCGTTTGATTCAGTAGACTACAGATATGTGGCTGTTAAGTTAAAGATACGGGCCATGAATAGATCCTTAAGGGAACTGAGATAAATTAGGTTTATGAAGTACAATATATGAAACAAATTCAGCCGAAACTAATTTTCCTTTGTGATAGTCACGGGTATATAACTATGGACGTGGTTTGGATTGGTAATTGAATTTACTAAACATCTACAGAACGTAACTACAAGTAACTGTAGCGCTATCGCTAATTCACACACTGCAGTTCACTGCAGCAGTACTGTCAGCTCGGTCTGCTGTGTGGTCACCGGTTGTCGCCTGGTAACGGCTTCAAAGCCATAGCTTCCTCAGCTTCACTGTTCATGTCCTTACTGCCGGCGTCTTTCACAACTTTTTTTTATTCGATTAGTGGGGGATGGAGTCCAACTTGGTCCACTCGACAATGCGGCCACTGATTGGCCTATTGTAGCCTGCCCTGGGTGATTGTAATGATGGAGAATGTGGTGGAATGAAGATTGGCAGGGGAAACCGAAGTACTCGGAGAAAACTCACCCCAGCGCCACTTTGTCCACCACAATCTCTCACAATTGACTCATTGCTCCAACTGACTAATTTCCAGGCTGGCGGCCAACTCATACCTACCACTTCTTCTGTTGCGGCCATTATCTAACAAAGGCCGTTATCCCAGAATCATTACCTAGCAGCGGCTGCTATGTAGCTGCTTATTTCGCTGTAGTTGCCTAGCAACGGGTCTACCTACCAAAATATTAAAATTCTTTTTATTGTCACACAACTACATGGGTTTAGGTTAGATTCATCAGTCAGCCTATACCATCCGTCGCAATGTAGGCTCGTCACTGGCGGTGTCGTATATTATGGCGTGTAGAACCGTTGCTATGCAAGGACAGCGAGCTTGGCTGATATACCAGGGCCGTTTCTGGGCAGCGGCTCGGTAAACACGTTCCCGCAGCAACAGACACGAATTCAACAGTAGTAGAGCTGTGTTTTCTATGAGGCCCGTGCCGAGGCGTCATAAGCAAAGGACACGGTTATGGCTTAGTTCTGTACGGGAGTCTGTGAAGAAAAGGACCTGAGCCCGGACGCAGAGGAATAGCCATTTGTTGGAGCCGTTTCCAGGAAACGTCTAGTAACAGGCTGAGAACACTAGACTGTGTGCTCTAGTGAACTGTAAAGTGTGGAAATGGCGATAATGTTATAGATATGACCTATAAGTGCTCAATAAATCTATTCATCAGTCGAAACCGCGTCTATAGTCACAGATAGTACGTGACAATATCAGCGGCAAGTAGAAACCATTGCTTCGTAACGGGGGGTGTTGTGGTTACTTGAGACGCCAAAACTACAGCATGCACAGAACTTCGTAGATGAAACACTCTTTAAGAGTTTAACGCTTTCAGTGGCGTCTTTGTTCTTCCTAGCTCTTTTTTCTGTAGTTACATTACGTTCATCTTATTCGGCGTATTGTTATTCTGGTTGGGTCATTCTCTGTTGGAAACTGAGAATTCTGACCAGTCAGCGTGGTACAACTTTCATCCCAGCGGGTGGCGCCGAATGCCAATGTTTCTGCTGTCAAAAGGATACTCGAATTGAACTTATCAGTCATCGTTTGTCGTAACTTTCAAATCGCTAATTTGAAAAGCAGCAGTGAAACATATATTCCAGCGCCTCCATTTTCAGTTCAGCATTCGAGTCTCTTTGCGTTTCAATTGCCGTCATTGTGACGTAACGGCTGAAGACCATGACTGGTGTAAGCCAAAATTCAGACGCCGGGAAGACGGGAAATTTCGTGCTTTAACACAAAAGTGACTTAAAAGCCTTCGCACTTACTTTCTCGTTATACTGGATGTGGCGACTGGCTACGGGCTGGACGATCGAGGGTTCGGATTTCGAGTCCCGGTAGTATCAAGAATTTTCACTTCTGCATATCGTCCAGACCGGCTCTGGGGTCCACCAAACCTCCTATACAGTGGGTACCGGTGGCTCTTAACCAGAATGAAACAGCCGGGGCGTGAAGCTGTTCAATTATCTCGAACTAGTGCCGAGGTCAAGAAAATGTGGATCTATACATTCACTCCCCCATACGTCTTCATAGTGTAGTGCTTAATTAGTTAAGCACAGGGACAACTTTACCTTTTACTTTTATAGGCGTTAGGATTTATAGAGGGCGTACCGTTGTTTTCCAGAATATATCATTTTTTTCCTTAGCACTACAGCCCCAGTGGGCCTAGGCCTACCTCCATGAACTTCTCCGTTCACTTCGGTTTTTCTAGATCTTACACATTCGGTAGGACTCCTTGGGCGGGTGATCAGCTTGTCGCAAGGCCTCTACCTGTACACAACCACAGAAAAACGCACACAAACATCCATGCCCTGAGTGGATTCGAACCCACGATCACGAAATCCAAGCGAGCGAAGACAGTACATGCCTTAGACCGCTCGGCTACCGTGACCGGCGAATATATCACTTACATAATTATATTTAGAGTCCGCGTCATAGCTTAAGCGGTTAGTCGCTGGCTTCCCACCGCGGCGGCCCGGGTTCGATTCCGGGTCTGGTCAAGTGGGATTTGTGGTGGACAAAGTGGCACTGGGGCGTGTTTTCTCCAAGTACTTCGGTTTCCCCTGCCAATCTTCATTCCACCAAATACTCCATCATCATAATCCCCGGGGGGAGGCTACAATAGGCCAATCAGTGGCCGCCGTGCCGAGTGGACCCAGTTGGACTCCACCCCCCACTAAGCGAATTTTAATTTTTAGTTATATTTAAGGAGATTGTATCCTTAAATTAATTAAATTTAATCAGAGTAATTAAAACCGTTTTTGAGATAATCTCGATGTTGGTTTTGGGAGCCGATCAGAATGGACTTTTTTTTAGTGGAATATTAATAAATATCCGGA